TGTTGATAGGGCGGGTGCTCTATGCGATTTGACTGTGACAGTCATTTGAGTACAGTGAACTCATTGTCATGCCAGAAACCAGTTTGAGATGATCAATCGATGATCAAAAGATGAAATCAAGTCACATCAGATTTTTCCAATCGTCTATTGTCCAGTTTTAGTGAGTCTATGTGAACTGTAGCCTGAGTTTCTTGTTCTTAGCTAACAGTCGTGGTCTTCTGCTTCAAGGTCCGATGTGTTGAGCATCCAGATATGCTCCAACTTTGGTTGCCACGAGTGATTGTTTGAGTTAAAGTTTGCGACAGTCTAGAGTGTCTTGTTTCTGACTGTTTCTGAACCCCGGAGATAGTTGTGCAGGAAAATCCCAGCAGATCAGCAGTTTCTGACATCCATGCTACATTCAAAATCACTCACGTGAACTTCCTTTCCATTTGAACTTCACCATCTTAACCATGTTGCCATGATTAAATGAAGTTGCTGCTAGATGCCTGATTAGACATTTACATTTATGAGCAATTGAACATGTTTATTTAAAGCATAAGCCTGCAAAGCAGCTTTACCCAGCAATTTTGCAACCATACACCGACGGTCATTTAGAGCATCACCACTACCCACATTCAGTCATCTTCACTATCACACGCTTTCAGTCCTCCAAGGCTACCTGTTGTCCATCTATCCATGAGAGAACCCTGACCTTCAGGTGAATGAATGGGACCTTGTGTAGCAGCAATGAAATAGAAGAGGATGGTGAACTGAGCGACACTCATAAAAGAAATGCATCTAAGAGTGATGGTGAGTGAGAAAGAGGGGGGTCAGTTTTCAATTCACTGTCTCGCTCATGTTGAGAGGATAATCAGTTCAGATGATACCAAAAGCTTCTAATTTTCTCATTATTATGGCTGCCAATAAAGATTAATGCAGGAAGCTTGCTATCAGCTTTCAAAGCATTAAAAGAAAAATGAGGGGGGGGAGGGGGGGGTATTTTTTTTTTTTTAATGCCTTCAAACATTTTCTACCTCACACATTGATACTCTAATGGCTGAATCGGGGCAATTTTAGAGTTCAGTTACTGGCCAAAGCACATTTTACATGCAGACCAGAGCAGCTGGGGATCAAACCTCTGACCCTGTGCTCTACCTCTTGAACCACAGCCACACTGTAGCCAAATCCACCACAGATAAATAGCGTGTGGGTAAAAAATGTACTGATGGCCGCCAGCGCTACCCCTGACCCTTCTAGTAGTTGCACATATAATATATATTTGAAAATCAAAGCTTACTTCCTTCTTGAGCTTGAGGCCAAGTTCACCAAGGTTCAACCTCATTTGAGATTTTTTTATAGATACACTTATGGTATCCATTTGAAAATCCTTGGAGACATATTTATCAAGTTTTTGTGTCCACAAATTTTAGTGTCCACTCTGTCCACCCACCCACCCGGTGTGGTGACGACAATACCCAATCACCTAAGGGATAATAAAAAAAATGAAAAACAACAACAAAAAAAGAAAAAATGACTCACATATGGTTATTCAAAAGCTTTACTATGGTGACACACACATAGGCTCACACCGTCATTAGTATTATACTGCCCACTTTGTTATCAGCTTTAGGACTCAAAGTAGGAAAGATTAAACTATTGTCTTCTTACAACGTAACCACTTTGCACTCTTTAAGTAGCGCTCGCTGTTCTTATTAGTTTTACTGTTTAGTTTTATGACATGATCCATACATCTAACGCTTGACAAGTAAGAAAAAAATATTCCTCCAGATTTGCTGTGTGTGGTGAAGCATGGAAATGCTCACTGAACTTGGAAATAGGTTTTGCTCTCCAGTCTGACTTCTGCCCACACCGCCTCCCTCTGCTAATAAAGAAGCGCTTAGCCTCACAAGCCTCGTTCATTCACTGCCGAGATGAAGATGTAGATTAAGGTGTATACCTGCATGTAAAGAACGGATTACTGCTGAAGTGTCAGCGGTAATGAAGAAGCCACTTAAAGGAAAATCCCACTTAGTGACATCAGTCTAAAAAACAGAAATCAACTGTGAAGATCTTTGGGGTATGGGCTATACTTATGCTGGTATCAGGTTTTTGGGGCTGTAATGATGTGCAGAATTATCTGTTCTTTAGTGGGGCTTCATCATTCATTTAGAGACTGAACGTCATAAGCTGAAGAGACAAAGGAGATATGGCATCAAGAAAAAACTGAGTTTAAGACACCACTTCTGCATCGGCAGAGTAGCGCAATACCCAGCAGGTGTCATTTTCACAGCCTCTTGTCACTGAGCAGATTTATACACATGCACACAAGCACAACAGGTCTGGCACTATGAGTAAAGTGAGAAGCCCTGAGGAATCTCCCTTCTCGCTTGTTTTTCCTGCATAAAACAAGGTTGCAGAAACAGTTTTTCAGCACTCAGACACTTCAGGACATATTCAGTCTCTGAGGGTGGAGGGAACACCACCGCTCAGTTCCCTTTCAAGCAGAACGCTGACCCCAAGTGTCCTGAACTTTCACTCTTTTACTACAGAAGAAAGTAAAAGTTGCTTCAGACCACATGACTGGGTGCATTTCAATGTAAACACCAGCACAGAGGAGGGAAATGAGTCTGCTGACATATGACAAAGGGATGGCTGTTTTAAACCTTATTTTTGTACAAGTGAGAAAAGTTTCCAGTCTGGCAACAAAAACAACTTGGTTAGATTTGGAAGAAGATCTCAGGGTTGGGGTAAAACACGCATTTTCAAGAAAAGTAACCTCACTGGCAGGATCTTTAACATCTTACAGAGCCCATCTGGGAGAAAGCATCAAAGGCAAACTTGAACCAATTTTGTGCACAGCCAAAACTTCATCTAAAAGAGGCCACAGCAACTTTTTCCCCCCAAAAAGACTGTGAGACAAACTTAAATAAAGTAAGTGAAAGACAAGTTAACGACTAAATGAAAACATGGTTCAGGTGTCTGTGAAATATTACTTTAGAACATAAAGAAACCCAACTGAACTGAGATTTAAATCGGCCTACATTTTCTGCCATCTGGCTGATATCCACTCCTGCAAAGGTCGCTAATAAACCTCACTGCATAGGAACAGAGTTAAATAGCAGCTCTTTAAAGTCATTCACAGAATTGTGTCAGGCTGAATAACTGCATAATGCTGCCTCTTACACCTTTCAGGCCACTGTAAACATGAGTGAGATACTCTGCTGGCCAATTTCGGCTTATATTTTGCTCACGTGTTCCTGAAGCAAGCCTTTCCACTCAGAAGCCATCTCTGAAATACTTCCAGGTAGGGCTGGGCCATATCATACCGTTCACGGTAATACCGGTATAATGTCGGGCAATGATAAGAAAATGAAATATCGCGATAGAATATGAGTAAAACGCGCATGCGCAGTGCCTTTGTTTTCATACGCACATGGCAGAAAAAGCATGGCAGCGACGGAGAATGAGGAGGGCAAAAGCGGATCATTGAATGAAACGGATGAACCAGAACTGGTTTGTAAAAATGCTGCAACTTCAGTGGTGTGGAACTGGTTTGGCTTTCGTCCGTCAGATACACAACAAAGCACTATTTTTGGTAGAGCATGTTATCCCGTGTGCCTTATGTATGAATTCTGGTTGTGTTTACTGACCTCGAAAAAATTTTATGTGGTACACGGCGCTCAAAAATCTGTCAAATGTTTTAGTATGACTTTGCTAAGCTACAAACCCAACCGCTTGAACTGTCAGCAAGGAATTTGCATTTACACTGTTACATTTTTATATAACTTCAATGCACATAAAAAACAGCTGCTTGTTTAAGTGAAAATACATTGATGTTCTGTTTTGTTTTTTTGCACTAATAAAGTTGTAGAGTTGTAAAGTATTTTATCTAGTGTCAATTATATCGTCAGTTATATCGTTATCGCAAATTTTCAAATGTATATCGTGATAAATATTTTTAGTCATATCGCTCTGCTCTACTTCCAGGCAGCTATTTTGAAGCTGTTCGGTCACACTGACATAAAAACAGCAGTAAAATCTGGTTGGTTTTTATTAAAATTGCACTTCTACTACACTTGCACATAGTTTCACAACATTGCAGACAGGATCTGTGCTTATCCAACCAGAACACTGAACAAATGCTGCGCTAATTTGCACTGTGGATTTAATATGCAAAGAAAAAGTAAAACAAAGTATATTTATTAAACTATAAAGGGGAGATAGTCATGGCTGCCACCACACAGCTGAAAGTAGTGTGAGGCTGTAATGTTCGCATGTGTCCGCATAACAACCAGATTGGTTGATATGTTTTCCCATTTTGTCTGTTGATGGCTCACTGGAAGCAGATAGCCAACCATCATTAGCACTTCAGAATTCTCCCATAGATTTCTAATCATGATTTGCTGAATGCCACTGGTCTCCAGTAAAGTCCAGAAGGCTGTGGTAATGCAGAAGACTGACTGGTCACAAATTTGGGTGGTGTAAGCCACAAACCTAAAGTACCAGCACCAAAGTAAGGACATTAGGGGGTGACTCCAGAACTTAATTCAGGCCCTGGTCCCTGCAGTAGTTCCTCTAAAGGTTTTTTGTCTATAAGCAAATTCCCTGCTCAATTCTTTAATAATACAACAGCTTTCAGAACTGTTAATAGCCAAAAGGCGCTACAGAAGACAAGATCCAAGAACAACAACACAGAAGTTAATCTTCCACCCATAGAAAGGCTGGAAGCAAATCAATCAAACTAGATGACGGCGCAATGGTACTCACAAAGAACTTAAATTCACCCTGCAATATGGGAGACATCTAACTGTACCAGCTATTAAAGGGGATAATGCCAAAGATTTTGAGCACATGAAAACATTAATTCATTCAGTCTCCACTCTACCATCTGTTTCATCAATCAGACTACAGGCTGAGATTCCCCAAAGACTCCCCGAAGTTTCATTCAGTGCAGAGGTGGCAGAAAAATAAATAAATAAATAAAAGCAAAACAGAGGAAGGTTTATTTCTCTACTTACCTCTTTTCCAGACAAGTAGTAGGCGGACAGCAGACCTCCAACAAATCTGATGTTCACCTCAAACACCGACACTTCTGCATTCTGCGGCAAAGACAAAAGAAAAGAAATATGAGACGAAATATAACTGCTAACTACTCATGAATACACATTTCTTTTCCCACAAACAGTGAGCTAAGAAAGCAGACAACTCAAAACTGAAACGTTCCTGGGCTTCTTCTTGGCCTCAGGGAGGAGTAGACAGAGGTGAGCTTTTCACAGTCTAGACAGATATTTTCAGGCTGATGCTGTAAACAGCTGAATAAATTTGAATACCAGGTTTCTCCGCGCTGCTACGAATGACCGAGTAGCCAAATGAGTGTGTTAGAACTGAGCCAGGATGAATGAAAGAGAAAGTGGCATCTGCTCAGGAGGCGTGCGAGTACGCCGCATGAGTAGGGTTGTGGAAATCTTGTGAGATCAGGTTCACTCGTGCAGGGAGGACATTCAGGAAACTTGCGCAGGACCACTTGGCAAGCACGATTGGCCAAGGACAAAAGAGGACTGTTACACCGGTTGACATATGTAATGATGCGATAACAAGGAGCATTTATACTGAAGCAAATCATGTGTGCTGCATGCTCCTTTCCATGCGTCACTCCTTGAATGCACAACATTAGGTATGTGGCAGGTTTTATAAAGGAGTTAAGGCATGTTAACTATTCGAGGCAAGCTCAGAAAAGGGAAGAACTCGGTTTCTCCAGATTGGGGGTGGGGTTACTCTGGTAAGTGATCTCTGACAGACCAAGAAGAAGGAAATTCCCTCACTAAAAGTTTCAGAAGTTTTGAATAACTAGGGTTAGCCATGCTTTGTGTATGGCTAAGGATGGAACATTAAAGAAGGGATCTACCGAATGTTTTTAGTTGAGAACCAGCACCAAATTTTCCAAACCATCTGAAACATATTGTTCCCGGGCAGCAATCCAGAAACCCTCACAGTATGTTTACAGCTTGGTACAAAAATGTCTTTGATCTCTGCAGGTAATTTCCCCATGACTGTTAAATGTCATCCAGTTGGGTAGTGGACACTCTGTCTGACAGGTGTGCTCAAATGTAGCCAACAGCCTGGAGTCACATCTCTCCTTTCTATTTTGGAGCATTTTAACAGGATTATCGGTCCAACATTACGGTCCCCTGTGGGCAGGCCATCCAAGATGTTGCTTTAGTGTTTAGTGAGCAAAACTGATATTAAAAAAAAGACACTTCCTGAAGTCTTTCAGGACCATTCTTTAGTTTGCTCTGACTGGCTGGATGTGGGAACAGAAAGACCACCAATCTGCCCATAGATCAACTTTGATTTTAATGTTATGTGTTTGGGGAATCTGCCAACTGTACTCAAAAAACCAGACAGATATTTGAAAACTGCAGCTGAGAAAGCAATGACTAAGGAATGGTTAACTGAAAACTTTCCAACAATCACTGGAATGGACAAAATTTGTTCAGGAGGTCCAAGACAGAACAACTAATCTCTCTGACACTAAAAACGACCCTATTCAGAAGATACCGGGGAAAACAGAAATCACATCTAATGGTAAAGTCTAATAGTAATGACGATATTTGTCTATTTTTATGAATATTATGCTTTTTCAGCAAAATGCTGGAATTGAATAAGCATTAGAAATGTATCCATAGAGATGGATCATAAAGAGTTTTTTTTATATAAAATAAACAATGTTAGACAAAAATTAGTATTATAGTATTATTAGTATTATTAAAAAGTATTATTTGAATGTCATTGCTCTGATGAGTGATGAGTCTTAGTATTGTTAAATTCAAACAAATTAGCTATAAAACACAAGATAAATACTAGTCTAGTATGCAAGCATTACTTTTTCAAATGTATGACACACAGTTGTGTGACTTTTTAAAGAACTACCTGGTTAATAATATGTAATCCTTTGTTATAGTTTATGCAAAGGTAGACATCCCTTAATGTATGTGTCAAAATTTGAGTTATTCTGACCATTGGTTCATCAGCATATTTTTAAGTTTGACAGGAAAAAACAAAGAATGCTGATAAAGCACTGCATACCTTGAAGGGCACACGTACGGCAGCCTGAAAAAGAGAAGTGACTTCCAAAGTTTTTAAAGAAATCTTTAGGTACCAAAAACCGTCTTAAAAGCCGGAAATAAAGTGTGCCATCTTTAAAAACACAATACATTTATTTCTGGGCAGAATTAATGGAGGGAAAAATAACAAAAAAATTAAAGTTGTATAGCCATTTGTCTCAGTAGTCGAACAATGAAGCGTAATTTCTCTCTCATGTCCGTCCTTTATGAACAGATTCCCGAGGCGGATGAAGTTTTTGTGCTTGACTGACAGCTCTCATAAGTCACTGCTGTCGACTAGAGATAGGATAACAGACTCTGCAAGGGGGAGGGGAAAAAAACAAATTATGTGCCACACAAAATGTGTCCTGTCTTTTTTTCATCCCCAAGTCTTAGTGACTGATTGAGTGGGGAGATTGCAGCACTAATTCGTTCTAATTACAATTTAATTATTTGTTTTAACACTTAGGCAGCTGTAATCCAAAAGTACAATGAATACTTCTTCCTACGTTTTAATGTCTATTGGCAGCGGAGGTTTAATAAGCTAAAAGATGATGCTTTACATCAAAGTCAAAATTTTAAAAATACTTTAATTTAATTTTAAAGACGGAAACATCTTCAGCCAGCAGTCATCCTGCAGTGTTTTGTGACTGTATGAAGAAGCCAACACTGCTTTAAACTGCTGGACAATGACCCTCTGAGTCAGCAGCAGTGTGACATTATCTCACTCCTGACAGAGCTGGCAGGCAAGCAGTCAAGTCTCCTGATGTTGCAACATTCGGTCCATTACACTCCGCACAGGAAACTGACTAAGCATGGGCTTTTCCAAGCAGAGAACTAATTAAGGACTGAAACAAGATGAGCCCAGGAGATAATGTTCCCAGCAACAACTCATCAGATCAAAGTGTATCCACAGATCTTGCGTGGCCAGTTGTAAAAATCTAACTGTACCGGCCTATAAGTCCCTTTATCTCATCACAAGAAATGTTGTTTCAGTGTTTTGTAATGAACAAACCGTCCCAAGAGTGTAACAATTCCAACTCTATTCCTCTTTGCCTTTCAAAAGATTCAGGACTTCGCTATTTAAGTGAAAATAAACAGTAATAAATTACTAGTGGGGCTCTTAAAGTCTCAAAGACTCTAAGTGAGGTGTCACACTTTCTCAGGTGTTGTGGTACAAGCAAACTTTGGACACCATTCCAGTCGCTACATACACAGATTGTGTGATCCCACAGGCAAGAGTAAAATCTATTGGTTTACAAAGGAGGAGGGAGGACCTCTAAACGATGATCTGACATATGGCTCTTCAGGAAGAATTTCATTAATCAATCCATCTTCTTAACAGCTTATCCTATTTTTAAGAAAAAAAGAGTATTACAATCTTGCCAGATATTATTGCATGTGGTGCAAATATAGTCATAGAAAAATTGGATGACTCCATCCAACCTTAAGGACTGTAAGCCTCTGTGGTAACCTGATGATGGCCTATAGGATGGACGATAATCCTGGCAAGCACATACAGAAAGTACTGGAGAATACTGACTTTAATATTAGAGAAATATTTATGCTCTATGTACTTCATGTCCTCTTTGTACACATTTCAATGGCAAACGCATTAGTAATGGCATCACTTTAATATTAATAAGTCTCAAACAACTGCTATTATTTTCTTTGTTTTAATCTCTTTCACTTGTTTGCCTTGTTCCTTTGCTTCAAAAATAAGCAACCCAAACATAATGTTGAACCTTTTCTTCTGACTGTTGATACTCGTTTTCCTGCTTCGTTTCACCCCAAATGCTTAATTGTTGCTAATAATATGTGATGCCGGTTAGTGTTTTTCTTCAGTGAAATCTGGGTTGGTTTTTTGTCAGACTTACATCGGCTAACTCAGCTGATATTTTAACCCCAGTGAGGGTGGTTTCAAAGCCGCCTACAGAAACCTTCCCATTAAAAAGCATTTTAGTGGAATATCAAAAGCAGCTTTACATCTCGACATTATGCTACTGCAGGAAATGATCACAAAACAATGGGCTTCCTGCTGTTACAATGCCGTTTGACTGACAGGGCGACTGCTGGCAAATACTGGAAATCAGTAAGGATTATGCACAAAGCAGTGGTACCAAAAATTCAGACGTGGAAACCTCAACGAGTAAAACATCCAAAACATGCACAGTTTCGGAGACAGCAATGAGGATTAAAGCTGATCTGAAGGAATAACTGACAACACTACTTGAGCTTTTATATATCATGTTTGGTGGATGTATGTTTTGGTTTTCAGAATTAGACTTCATAAATCTGATATCAGAACCATGCTAAAAGAAAGACAAAGAAACTGCTTTGCTGTTTCCCCCTAATGAGGAGCTCTTAACGGGGATGTTATAATGAGGACGGCAAACATCAAAGGAAGGAGGGAAAATGTTTGTGTTTAACTCTTTAACATGTGCCCACACAATTAATCAGCAAAAGCAGAAATGACATGAGATATCCACGTCAGACTTTGTGTAAGAAATCTGCACTAGATCTGTAACTTTTAAGTGTAATCTTTTATTAGAATTATAAGCCCTTCCACGAGTGGTCATAACAGCTGAGAAGTTCTAGTTGACAGGATTAATATCTGATGAATCAATATTCCCCAGGTGGCAATTACGATCCCGTGTGCTTGCTCGCAACTTTCTACAAACTAAAGTTTAACATGTTCCTTTGTGTAAATGTATGTAAATACTGAGCAACTCGTGCAGAAAGTGCTCTAAAAGCACTTTAATATTATTCACTGTTTGCTTTACATATTCACATATGCTCATTAGAAGTAAACTCCTGCACCATGAGCATACAATTACAAGTTGATGAATAATAAACCTGGAAAACTCAAGAGCAACATATCAAACAGTATACCTGTACGCGGGCTCTCTCTCTGGGTTTTTATTGATACCATTATGGAACAGAATTCAGCGTCAATACACCAATTTCCTGGATGTTTCCAGATGTTCAGGAGAGTCAAAGTGGCATAATTTTCAACAATTTTGGTAACACATTTGTTGTTGATAACGCATTTATTGTATTGGGATCCATTATCAGCAGAGCTCTTTGGAACACCAGGTAATTGTTTCTAACCTTATAGACAGCAGAAAATTACATTAGTCTATATATAATATCACTGAGGACACATTTCCTGCATTAAATACTGGAATGTCAGGCAGTTTAGAGCTTAGTATCTTTATTAAATTGTGTCTTATCCTTAAAATGAGCACAAGCCTATGTCTTAGCAATGGAAATGCACTTTAAATAAAACTAAACTGTTATTGCTGTTAAAAAAAATGTGCATGCTCACAGGCTGCTTCCTGTACAAAAACATGGTAACATCTTTGGTTTAACGTCTTGATGCATTCTCAATCATCCAGGAAAGTAAATCTCCAAAAGTTGATTCTGTTCATCTGGACGTAGCGTTTTGTGGGAGAAACGTTTCGTCACTCATCCAAGTGACTTCTTCAGGAAGACTGAAGAAGTCATTTGGATGACGCTACGTTCAGATGAACAGAATCAACTTTTGGAGATCTTTGGTTTAAAATAAAGGGAAACTAATGCTTATGCACTGACTGTATATAAAAGACGGATATAGCCAGTTCCCCATCACCCACTGGTTTCTAGGCTTAGCATCAGTGAATTTTTATTTACCCATTTAAATAGTATTAAGGCTTAAGTTCACAACACTATGGGCCTTAGCTTTGTGTAACACTTAAGTGCTGAGCTAGTTACTATAGCTGTAGTCACTTCTCTGCTGCATTATATCCACTCATTGAATTTGGTTTTGGGATCTCGTTTGTGCTGTTGGTATTATGTGAATCATTTTTAGTACAACTTATTACAGGAGTGTATTTAGGCCAATAACTCAACACTACACGCTCTCTTCCAAACGTGGTGTTTGTACCATTCATTTTTATATGCAGTCTAAGATACATTCACAAGCAGGGTTCATCTAACATCCAAGTTAAGAGAGCAACAAAGAGCCCTCACTGTGATATGTATTTATACACCTGCTCACCTTTTCATGTATCTATATAAAGGTTAGATTTAATACATTAGGTCATAGGCTGGATCACATTCATTCAAACTTCCAATAAAAACATGCCTTTCAAACTGGAAAGTAGCACCATGTGACCTACAGGAAGTAATGACATGTTTTGCTATTTTTCACAAGCTCACAGTAAAACTTTACAGCCTCAGGAGTGCTGCGTGAAAGCATGTGTCCTTGGTAAGGACCTTTCAACTTGAAGCATTTCTTTAAGTGTGCTATACTGAGTAGACATCCATACTTCTGTAATTCAGCGTGTTGTGGATTAAAAAAGCTTTTAAATTCCAAGTGATGACTCAGTGGAGACACATGGGCAGAAAACAAACCAGGCCTCCAAATGTGATCTTTCTTACTTTCAATTAAATGTCTGTATATACAACACCTCCTCTTGTAAGACCATTTAAGACTGACAGTAAACATCACACCTTCTCGAGAATTTATTTTCACTCCTCTGTGTTGGTCAGGAACAAATCTCAAAATGAGAACTGATTTGGCTCGAAGCTCAGCACACAGGTGGTGATCTAAATTTGGGATTTCCGCCAGTAGTAGACTCTTTTTTTTTCTTAAGTGGGACTGTTGTATTCAGGAAATCTGTGAGCAAACAGTTGTGATTTCATTTGCTGTTGCAAGAAACTCAGCGTCACATGACAAACTAAACAATGCTGAGTCTAAGCACCACTTGACCAAAGCTGCTAACTGCTTTTTGAGTTTAGTTTCATCTCTGCAGTTATTTAGATGCCAGACACTTGGAACACTTAGAAGATAATTTATGACATGGCATGAATAATCCAAATCAATCTTTTTTCAAGATCCAAATACATGAACCACCACAGTTATTGTGGATTTTGCAAATTACACACACAAAGTACTCAAACTAGACCTTCTTGCAGTGCTAACCACCACACGATCATGCCACCAGATATAAACAGAGAGATGTGTACACCACATTTATTTTGTATAAGTGAATGTGAATGTTAAGGAAAATGTTCTAAAACACTTCTTCAGTAAAGACTCAGAGAAGAGAAACACACAGAACTTCTTGCTAGCAAGGGCAGCCTCCAGACTGAGACTCGCGCTGAGCTATGCCCTGGTCTTTATTTTATACTTCAGTGGTGTGTGTGTGTGTGTGTGTGTGTGTGTGTGTGTGTGTGTGTGTGTGTGTGTGTGTGTGTGTGTGTGTGTCTGCTGATCAAAGGGTCATATAACATGAAAGCACAAAAGGTACATCCTTGGTCACAAAGAGGGTAGTCTCCCCCACCCTAGATGGTTCACCCTAGATAACCCGGTGAGGAAGTCCAGCAGTTCATCTAGCAAAAAGGCACTTAGACTAAAACAGACATAGCTATGTTAAAACAATAAAACAATAAAACAAGGTGCAACCTCTCATGCTCCCAGGACGTGGGGGTGCATTCCTGGGGTGCACACCAAGCCTGCAGCCTGTTAGAGATCACACATCCTGTCACTACACAATTAATTATATGCCTCTAAGCATACATGGTTAAATATTTCCTAATACAAATAACTACAAGCAGTATTCTACCATATGCAAACTTATATCACTAAAAGATTATACTGACTACTAAATACAATTTTCCATTGACAGTGAACTAATACACGTTTGGTTTTGTTTTTAAATTAAAGTAAGGAATTTATATATGAAAAGTTTCTGAGGGAGTTAGGAGTTAGTTATTTAAAAAAAAAAAAACTTGTTGAGATTTTGCTCTATTTTATCTTCAGATATTCAAGTGACATTCGTCCACTGTTTAGTAGCCAAGCCGGTGATTCTCAAATAGGGAAGGTGGAGCATGGATGATCGGGGGGGAAATATTTAGTGAAACCCAGTTAAATGTATGTCATTTTTATAGAGGAAAGTATAAAAAATGCTTGTACTGATGATTATTTGAATGAAATTTGACTCCCCCCCCACCCCCCCCACACACACACACACACTTTTTTCCCATATTATTAGTTTATTTAAAAATGCATGGCCTAAGAACCATAAATTTACATGCATTTAAATTCTTAAAATTTAATAATGCAATACTTTATTAAACCTCTTGAATTAAAGCTGAAGTCTTCATTATAATCCACTATGGTGGTATAAAAAGGTCAAATTCATGAGCTATGACTCTTTTCTACCAGTCTTTAGGAAATCATTTTCAAATTAAATACCTACAAGCAAATTATCAGGAAATTAAAAGACATTTTAGAACCTTATTCTTCAATGACCCTTTTATTGACCTATAGGAAAACTGGTCTTCTGTGCAAAATGTTTGAGGCATTTTCGCTACGAATACATCAATCCAATATTTGGATCAGATATTGCTCTGATCCCGAAACAGATATTGTTGCCAGCAAGCCGATCTAGTCAGCTCAGTTCTATGTTAGTTTTTGTTCAGCATACCATGCAGGAGAGCTAACACAGCAAAGAGGAAACTAACTGTAAAGCAACACCACCTCGGAGGCGTTTCAGACCGGCTACGCCAAAAGCTTTTTCATTTCATGTTTACATAACTTTTACTTAACCACAAGCTGTGGTCTAGTTGACACAACTGAAACTCACCTTACTCTGCTAATAATTTATCAGAGAGTTATATATGTTAGAAGGTAGAAGGATGCTGGTTCAACATAACACCTGTCGAGGACCTTTGATTACCCGCACAGTAATTCTGTGATGCAGTTAAATATTGTTTCACTTCAGCAGAATAGAAGAGACTCATGCACTACTAATACTGGATGCTTTTGTGGGCTACACAGTGGGACAGTGGGTAGTAGGGGTGAGCGACGTAGCCTCCAAATTATATCGTATATATCAAGAAAATCTAAATAATATTTACCTGCACAAAAAAATATAATAATCAATATTTTATTGTTGCTATATACCTGACCATAACAAGAGCACACACGCAACTTACCACGTTGAAGTCAAGGCTCTTTTCCACCCAGTCAGTAGCAGCATCAAACTCTTCAAACATCTCCATGATGTAGAGGGTATCCAAAGCATCCACTATTGTCGCTCCTTTTATACTTCCTAGAAGGAACACAGAACAAAAGGTTAAAAACAGATTACACACTCACGCAGGCTTTTGTCTGTTACATATAGCACCCGGTATAAAAAAAACAGAGGAATATCAGACAGCAAGCTGGTAACAAAAGTTCTCAAGCTGAACTTTTGAAATGAGCAAAAACTCCCGTGAAGTTCTTTCAAAATGTTAAAAGCTTGTTAGTCAGCAAACCATTCCTTTTATAGCAGGGATGACAACAGGTGTTGGCGCCACACTCACTAGAAAAGCGGTGAATAAACAGCAGAAGCTAGAAGTTATGTTTGGAGGTTGAATAAATTATTTTTGCTCGACAGATGGTGAGAGGTAGCGATTATCGGCACTGATGAAACGGCAGGAGTATTGCTTATCTCCAGTGATTAGCCTCATAGCAGGAGGGAAGACACACAGAGAGACACAAACCATCATTTCAGCACCGTCATTATCCAAGCTCCCCCACCCAACAATCCCAACACCTCAATAAATCATTATGCATGCAGAGTAGAGCCTTGAGTAAAGCTTTTAGTTCCTGCATACTTGCTATAAACACCAGATAGGAGTTACAGTATCTGACCACTTAAAGGTGAGAAAGAAAAGGCAAAGGATGGGAGAGACACAAGGGAAACAAAAACACCAGCGAATCAGCATCAGGAGGCTGACCTAGAGAGAAGGGCAGGGAGTGAAGGTAGAAGGAAAAGCAGCGAGGGCGGAGAACATACTGAAATAATAATAAGGACATACCAAGTCATTAAAGCAAGTTTGAAAAAGATGCGGCTGCAGAGTGGCTCGAGTTAAGATGAAAACCAGAGAGGGTGGCTGGTTTGTTTTTTGTGTGGATCTGTTGGTTTATGTTCCTCTGTGAGTGGTGGGAAGATTCAAAAGCGGCTAAAAGCTTTCCATTAGACACATCGCTGAATCATCAGCCTGAGGCACAGAGACACTGTTGTCCATCACAACTACTGTGCTCACTCCCTAGAAATATCTATTATTTCTTTAGAGTCATCACAGTGAGAAACTATTTTGCACTGTTTCCAGTTGTAAAAAGGTTTATAATTACACATCTCAGATACATATGTGAATAACAGTAAGCACATTCATTACCAGATAATACCAAAGCTCTTTGCCGTTAATACCCACATTTTGGTGTCAACTAAAGAGGTTTTGGAGATTCACTGGGATGTGACCAGAATAATATTTCAAAATGTTTGTCTATATAATACCAAATAACCAATGAGGGGAAAAAAGGACAAAAAGTATTGGGCCTCTCCTCTGAATCTTTGAATTCGAGTGATTTAGGGTTGTCGAGTAATAGTCCACAGACTCAGCGAGTGCAGAGCTCTAAACCTCCTCTGGAATTAACATCAGCACAAAAACTGTGCACTGGGAGCTTCATGGCCTCTGCAGAAACCAGCCATTAAAAGACTTGATTCAATTTTCAATATATGAAATGTTAAGGGTAGAATTTACCAGTATTTTTGTTTTGTTTTTTTTCCTATACAGTCTATAACTCTACAAAGTTGGACAATTGATGACATTAGCAAATGTGCATTAGTTACATGAGTCATCAACAGACCCCGAGTTGGACAATTAAATCAAAATCTGAGACACAACACACGCAACAAAAACGTAGAATAGCTCAATAAAATATAAAGGCGGTATGATGAGACAAGACAGCTCAGTAAAGTAGAAACTACACAGTAAATGAACTTTTTAAAAGAATCAGTTAGAAATCTAAATAGAATAAAGTTTAAAACATGTTTTTAAAAAAAATGGGAAAAAATGAAATAAAGGTGTTCTATAAATGTTAAATGCACTGGTTTTCACAGAGTGTTTCTCTACTCGAGCGCTCGAAGCACTTTATACATCACGCCTCATTCACACATTCACACCCATTCATACAGGCACTTTTTCTTCGGGTAAGTGCTTTCCATTCTATCACACTCCGATGAATGCATCAGAGAGCAACTTGGGGTTCAGTATGTTACCCAAAGATACTCTGGCATACAGACAGGTGCATACAGGGATCAAACCATCAACCATCCAATTAGTAGATGACTTGCTCTGCCTACTGAGCTAGCTGAGATGAATAGCCTTTAAATTGACTGAAAGGAGCGTTCAAGAAGTTTAACTATAAAGTGAGGGTACTGGTTTTGTGACCAGTTTGTCCTAAATGGCTGCATCTGTTAGATGTTTGTGGACCGATTCAAATAATGAGATATCAAACACAAAAGCAATACCCCCAGGCTTGAGTATCAATCACAGGATCTCAGGCTGCAGTTACACTGCAGACAGACGAGAGTAGGGTGATCAGATATCCACAAACTAAATGTAGGACACGTTACTACTGTGGAAAACTAGTCTGAGAATTTGTTCACAAGCACAGATCTCTGGTACCCCATACAGGCAAATTACAGTAGGCATTAAGAATGTCTTCTCACACTCATGTATTCCTTTTTTCATCTTAATAACTGAGGTAATCGTCTCTAGGTTTCAGTAAGGGTGCACAGATAGGTTGGTACATCTCGTTTTTTAGATTTGCCACCTTTTTATTTTTTTGAGTGAGAGAGAGAGAAATTCTCATATAATATATGGACTCCAGTCACAATTCTCCGCAGTGGAAAATGGAAAGAAAAGAAAAAAAACTGTATTCACCAAGTTATAAGCTGTTTCGTCAGCTTTAATGTTGATGTATTTCCTTTTCTCTATCATGTTTTATTGTCGTTGTCTAGTAAAATGCATAGACTCACAATTTTTTTCCATTTGGGCGTTGCACGAGCAGCAAAAGACAGCGACATGTTAACCTCTTGATCCATGATAACAGTTTTCCCTTCTTCCCTCACATCCATTGCATTAAAGCCAGACTTCCTGCAGTTGGAAACCAGATCCAATAAAAATGTGGGATGATGCTGTGCAGTCCCACATAAAGAGATTAAGACGAACAGTGGCAGAAAAATCAGCATTTAAGCATTAAAATGATCAGAAATGGGACAAAAATCCAACTTATAATGAGAGATTAACACTAAAGCAATACTGATGTCTTATGGTCATCTGTTTTTAATGTTTTTTCAAACTCTTACTCCAGTAATAAAGGAAGCGTGTAACTGGAAGTGTCAGCAGATACAGTTACTGTTGTAGTCACTTGCCCTTCCTGTTTTTCATCCATCTCACATTTTCTGTTCACTGAAGCCTTCAGAGCAACAAAGAGAGGACGAGACACTTTCCTGCCGTCCATTGTCCTGTCGCTGTGCTTCCTCTCCCCTCACTGATCTTATATCTGCCTCTGTGTGTGTGTGTGTGTGTGAGATGTGAGAGATACAGATGGCAAAACAGTGCCCAGAATACTAATGCCACATACGAAAACACTGAAACGGAAAGTATTTGTGAGGAACGTAATGGTTTCTAGACTTTCTAGTGACTGCCAGTGGTTACCCTGTCCTGGGTGTACTCCACCCCATCACTCCCAAAAAGTCCTTTATTGTATATAAGGTCGATCATGCTCACACTTGAAGTCCCCTCCAAAGATTTCAAGTGTGAGCATGATCAACCTTATATAAAATAACAGACTGCTTTCTGAGTGCAGATAAACCCTGCAAATACCAACATACATAGCTGGCAGGTTGATCAGTAATAAAAAATAGCAGCTAGCTACGACCTTGCGTTCCTGCTCATTGATTGATGCCTCATAAAATGAAGAACACTTGTCTTTTTGTTCTTTCCAGAGAGTGCACAGATGTATTGGGGCTTTAAGATCTGTGATGTTAGTTTGACAGCTTGTGCAGGGTCACAATGCCAAGAATCTGCTAAAATCAGCTCCCCCTTCTCTCCCTTCCCTTTATTAGATCCAGGATTTGTGTCAATGTCCAGATGGGATTTCACACACACACACACACACACACACAGAAAAAAAGCCGTGATGAGATCCGGCGGAGGTCTGTGAGGTTGAGAAAGCAAAGTCTGATGATCTTGGAGGTGATGTGTGCGCTGCTGAGGATTTTGTTTCTGTTAGCGACTGTGCAAATAGTAAGGAAGCAGATGGCTCAGCAGAGGGCAGAGTCTTTGATGCCTCTGTAAAACACGAGTGGTAGTGGAGGAGGAGGAGAACCACAGCGATGCTGCTATGAAGATGGAGCAGTATAGGGGGAGGGCAGGCCTTCTGATATTTGCTGTAGGCAGTGGGCTTGTCGCCATGGGGGAATTCTTACATTAGTCAAAATTTCTCTCCACGTATCCACAAATAGTTCTGGGCTCGTTGCTGTTATTGCCCACAGCAACAAGCTAAGTCTGCATGCAAGTTGGCAGATACACAGAAAAATGCTGCATACAAACATGTCAAGTATTTTATTGGTGAAGGCTCTTTTCAGCACCGTCTCTCAGTGTCTTTGTCTCCTTAACTTATATTTTTTATTTACTCTATTGCTTCTGTTTATTTTTGTGGTTATCACGTCTGCATTCTGGCTTTAGCTTGAAACTGATATCTGCATGTCAAGGTGAAAAGGCTAAAGATGGATTTATTTGACGAAAGTTATATGTTGAACTTTTTATCCCCTTTGGGATAAAAGGGACAGGAAGGGGAACAAAGACTAAATGTATGCAGCACAACTCCACACATTATTCTACATGGATTTATTTGCATTTGCAAATGGACTGTCCACGCTTTGTTGAGAGATTCAAGTTAGGCGAGCGGTAATCTCTGGGACTGAAAAATTAAATCAACATTTCCAAAACCTGCGTTTTAAAGGTGTTTAGTCTAGCGTTTTACCACAGGAGTTCATGGGGATTGATTCTGTTTTGGAAAAAGCCATAATGGGATTTAGAATAACTGCAAAACTGGCTTTATATTTCCACTTCCAGAAGGTTGCTGCTTGTTTCTAAAGGCCAAAAGCTGCAGTTTTTCTAATGACCACTTGAGGCAGGCTCTAAAAGTAAGTCAACGTCCAAAAATTCTGACGTTAAAATGCCCAACGATGTGGGTGACATAAACGTGTTAACA